AGCAGGATTTTGAGAAGGAAGCAGTCTTAACGAAGAGATAATTTTAGATTAAATAGTAGAAAAACAAGCAAACAAATAAATAGATTAATTTGTAACTTGGATACAAAAGAAAGCCTCAGGCTTTGTACAGAGGTCAAATTAGAAACATAGCTTCTTGTATAAAATCTACTATGGTGCAGTTCTACTACGGAACTTCTTAGTTCCCTGTTTTATTTATGGTTGCGGTAAGGGTGTCCACAAATTCACAGCAAGTTGGCCACTTACAGAATTACAGTGGTACCATACGTAATCCTCCCATGAGCATGCAAATCTGGTCCTGAGATACATGCTTTTCTGAATGCAAGTATGTGCAAAGAGAGAAGACGTTCACGAATTTAGTTATATGTACAAATGCTTTCATAAAGAGCTATGTAGTAAGCTACAATTAAGCTTTCACTTGCAAATCTAATTACTGTATTACCTTACCGCCAAAAAAAGGAATGAAACCCGGTGGAATTAATGCCTTGGTAAGGTGGGATGGATTTCACCCTGCATTTAGAATCCAAGTAAGTGCGTGAGAATTTTCTTTTGATTTACTATACTGGACAAACAAGTAATTATTCAACTACAGCACATACAGTTTCCACTACCCTAATTCTTTGTTCTTAAAAGAAGCCATTTGGCACGGCATGCTAAATATGCCAGCAAGACATTGACAACAATTACAGTAAGATATGCCAGTACCCTTGCAAGGTAATTGAAGTTCATTGTTAAACACTTGCTCGCTACTCAAGTTAAACACAGATCCTTCCAAAAATGGCAAGCAACTTTTTTTTCCTTGCTCTGTTTTCATTGTAGAGATGAATCTTTATTTGGTCCACATCTATAGCAAAACAATTTATGCAAGAGAGCCCCGATATTCCTCGTAAGGCAGAGAGCAGAAAGGACTTCTTCCTTTTAACCCTTCTGTCTTCCTTCGTGCCTAAGGAAACCTGGTGTTGCTGCTCTCAACAACATTAGAAAGCATGAAGCAGCTTGAGTTTTTCTATCGAGCAGGTACAAGTTGTTCGGGAAGGCTACATCCAGGCAGCAGAAAGTGCAGTGACTTGCTTTTATCTCACCTAACTTTAGGCTGGGAATGGCAAGGCCTAATTCGCAGAGGATTCACTATATTTCTTTATGCTTAAACAGATTGTCCAGCTTTCCTGAGATGCCTTCTTGTCCCTATGGATTATATAAGGTGCTTGGGGCTGACATCAGCACCTCATTTAAGAGTCTATTTCTGCAAAGAATTCTGAAATACAGTCCTGTTCCCCCCCGCCCCTTCCCCGAGAAACAGAAAAATGAAGTCACGTTGCTACTTACTTTGCTCACATTGTTTGCCTGTAAATCCAGTCCTGCACGTGCACTGGCCAGTGATGTGGTCACAGTCCGCTCCGTTCTGACACTGACAAACATTGGCACAGTTTTTTCCATAAAAAGCAGCTGGGCAACCTTTCAGGAATCAGAATAAGGAAAGACTAAGAAATAAGCTGAAACATAAACTCAGACGCGTTATTAGCACAAAATATGTAGGCCTATAAATCTATGGATTTTCAGCCTCTGTACATTTAATAACATTTATTTGATCATCTAAATGCAGAGATACTACGACAGCCAATTTTCTTGAAGTGGTGTTTCTCATATCTTACAGAATTGCCTCTTAAGTGTTTCAGAAGAACGAAAACTTGACCCATCTATACAAACTACGTTTTCAAGTGAAAGAAGTTGGCTAAACAGAAACTCTCAAAAAGGCCAGAGATCAATCAATTACTTGCAAGTGAAAGAGCCTTCTTAAAAGGCTCACCAGAATTTGATCTCCACTTTCGTACAGGGCTGATAATTTGGCACTAGTAGGATGAGAAATCTCCAACATTTTCCTAAATCAGGCCACATATACTGGGGCTTTAACAAGCAGGGACGTAGACTGTGCAAATTCTGACAATGAATCGATAATCTAAACGATCGGCCCCTCCTTTATCGAGTGCCAAAGGCATAAAAAGCCTTGAAAATCTTCAGGAGTATTTCTTGGGGGTGATGCGAAGTTATCACAAGTGCGAAGCAGGTGGTTTAACAGGGAAGACTGCAATGCTTGGGAGAGACACGGGGTAGCAGCACATACTTTGACAGATTCCCTGGCACAACAGGGTCTCTGAAAGGCTTACGCTGGGTGCAGTAGAGCCCCGTCCAACCATGAGTACATCTACATTCTCCATCGTAAGGGCTGCACATTGCTCCGTTGTGGCAGTTGCATGAATGAAAGCAATCAGGGCCCCAAAAACCAGTGGGACAAGCTATGAAAATAAAAAAGATTTGTCAGCCGACAAAAAAAAAAAAGAAAAAAAAAGAAAAAAAAGCAATGATACTGAGTTAGTGCTGCGGAGGAGCAACAATAAAGGGAGAACCTGTGAGAGACCAGCAAAGGCAGAACTTCATATTGCAGAGCTTGGCATCGCTGCGGCCACCCCCTGACAACCAGCGGCTCTTCCAAGCCAAGGATTGCTTTGCAAACCCAGGTGCCAGCCTGCGACCTCACCCACGCTGACAGCCCTGGCACAAGGGATTTCTTCCCCGGGAAGGTCAGGTGGCAAGATCAGGTCTTTGCTGCATATGTGCACTGAGAACCTCTGAACCAGCAGCCCTCGACACAACATTACTCTAAGTGCTCCCTGCCTTACCGGCATTATCTGTGAAGATAATTTAGACAGGCTTTTAAGATACGGAGGTAATTTAATTTTCTTTTTTTATATTCTGGGATTCTTGCATAATAAAACACAGCTATTCATGGTTTACTTTTGCTATGCAATCAACCACAAAAATTACCACATTCATGTGAAGCACATAGTGCTACTCGTATTACATAAAAATGTAAAGAAAACTTCTTACAGTATGAATTCCCATCCACAAAATCAGATTGCTTTTGTTGATGGGGCTAATATTAAATTAAATTCTCCAGGTCTATTATATATTTCAACAAGTACAATATTAATACGTTTTCAAAAGTTATTTTAAGCCTCCCTCCAAAAATGAATGCAGTAAGTTACAGTTATTAGTGCCAGACTAAAAGATCCAAAGTTCTGATAACCCTTCAACGTAACAACTATTTTTTTGCTTTAAAAAGCGCTTTCCATTGCTTCCTATTAAAGACATGAATTAATAAGGCATGGTTCCCAGGAAACCTGAAAGTATGGAAACCGTGCCTATTTCCATGCATGCCATTGGCTCCAATTCTGACCATAAGTGCAAGTTTCTGGCATGTGATGGATATCTCTAAAGCCAGAATGAATAGCAAAAAACCCCTGCCATGACGTAAATCAAACAGAAGGTCACTGAACTCACACAATGTAAAGCTGAACAGGATTTGGCCTAAAGTGTTCGTGCTATAAGAAACCAGAAATACTTTTACAATGCCTTTGTAAGCCAGAGCTGCAGGGTCTGTTAGTGTCTCCAGAACTGGCTCTGGAGTTGGAGCTAAAATTATCTTCTTTGCAGCCCTGTCTCTCGGTCATTTCAGGTTAACTACCTGGTGCGGAGGGAGGTCTGACCAAAATAGCTCAGTACCGGGCTCGGGTACGCGAGGCCAGGTGCCGACAGGAGCCCAGTGTGAGGCCGGGTTCACGTTGGGAGATTCACACTTTCTTTACAAGAAGGTAACCGAGGGAACAGTCAGGTTCCCATTTTGTTCGTCCAAAATACAAAGTAGCTATCATCAGGTCCTTCTGCCTGCTAAACTGGAAATTGTTGCTGCTGAACTGGTCTGCCTCACTCTACATGAAAAAATGTCTTTTTTCAAGGTTAAGAGAAACTATCAGTCATTTCCCAATTACATGGCTAAATATAATGAGATATCTGTGGAGCCTTCTGTCTTTTTTTCTTTTTTTCTTTTTCTGCTTTTGAATGACAGCAATATTCTGCCTGTGGAAGACACACAATAAAAGCAAAATTACAGCCGTCTGTTTGTATCCGATTCCTACTTTATCACTTGAAGTTTAATATATTTTACTCTGGAATGCTGTCTAATATGCTAGTTCCTGAATATGAAGTAACATTTCTGAATGATAGGATATTGCTTCCCTCTGTGATCTATCTTCAATTAAGGGATGCTCTCAGGAAATGACACTTTAGGATCAGCAAATGCCAGTCTTCTACCTGGGCAATTTTCAAGAAGAAATCCTCCATCCCTCCAAGCCCACAGTGACTTTTACAATTAAATTACATTTAATAGAAATATTTCAGCTGCCTAATTTCTCAATTCTGGGGGCTTGGTACATGAAAACATTTACCGGTTAATAATTTCTAATGTAATAGCTGAAAGAAAATGATTTCAAAAAATAAATAAAAGGGAATACAGCTAGAAATTAAAAGGGAGCGTGGAGCTTTCTTTTCTGATAAGAGCTTGTGACGTCCCATTCCTGTAATAGAAGCTAGTAACAGCTTCTGCAAATTCCAAATGCAGAGACTAATTCAAGCCAAAGCTAACTTAGATTAATTAAAAGAAATAAGCTATAAAGAGAGTAAGGCTTTACTGGCTGCTGTAATACTTCAGGGATTTCCCCAGAATCTGTCTTTAACTTTCAGAAAATGCTAAACAGGAAAATACGTTATTTTAAAGCAGAGGTGGAAAAATAACACTTTGCTTACTCTGAGAGCAGTCTGTCCCTATCCAGCCTGGAAAACACTGACACGATCCATCAATAGGATTGCACGTCCCGTTCTCGGTGCACTGACAGACCTCGCCACAGTTCTCCCCGTATTTTCCACTGGGACAGACTGTGAAAATACAAGGCAGTTTACTGAAGGTTCTTCATAATGAATATGAGGAAGTCATAGGACTTAACATTTAGCAATTAGAGATAAAAGTAATCACAACATTTTTCTTTGCTGAAGCCAAATGGGCAAAATTCTTCTGAAGAGAAGGAAAAGGCAGAAAGTATTCAAGTCCATTTTGTTTGCTGACATAACAGGCATAAAAATAACAGGAAAGAGTCATCTTAAAATCCATTTTTCTGCTGGAAAATGAATCTAATACAGTTAGAAGATTACAATTACTGAAGGGCATTATGGAAAGATGAAAAGAGGAGAGACAAAACAGAGAAAAGAGGTTGTTGGGAGAAGAGAACAGTAAAGCTGAGGAGAATTGAAAGAGTAGTCACAAAGACAAGCAAGTGGCTGGAAAGGATTGATCTGGCACTTGGCCAAGGGCGTCCCTTAGTACAGACCCTGAAATAGGGTTCTGTGCTGGCTCAGAGGATTACAGCCTCAACAATAAGAACACTAAAAGTAGGAAGGGAACATTTTAGGTTAAATGTCAGCCTAGCAAAGAAGTCTCAAGAAGACGAAGAACAATGGGGGTTCTTACTTTCAGGTCTGTCACTAGAACCTAACTCCCTCGTATTGTACGACTGATAACGACAGTAATAATGGACCAAAAGCTGCAAACCTTACCACCCGGTATGATGGCCTGACATACTAGCCATGGGTACATGAAATGGCTGACGGCAGATAAGCTATCCCATTAGCACCACAAAATGCATCATGCACCACGCGGTGCTGCAATATCGGGTACGCTAGAGTACCTACCTCATCACTGTCTCGATTCCTTCCGGATCAAGTAACGGTGAGAGGAAGGCGTCTTTGCTACTAAATACACTAGGCTTTGCCAAAGATCAACTTGCAATACTGGTGGGAGGCAGACTCACGGCATCTCACAGATTCAAATCATGCAAGCAGAGAGTAAACCAGGAGCAAGACTGCCACTTCCATAAGTATTTTTACCATATAAGTCGGCAGAAGACTACTTCCACAAATAAAGCACATACCCAATTGCTGAAATGTCATGCTTGTCTTTTGACATTTGTCCACCTGTTCCTCTCCAGTACCCATTGCTGTAGTAAGTGTTCAGTTAGGTTGTAGATGTGGTTCCCAAGGATTATATATATATATTTGTTTGACTGACAGCTGTTAAACAGATGTGCTGCATCCTAACAAAATGAGCATCTATCCCTGTTCGTCCACCCAGCTTAATCCTGAAGTTGGAAGAAAGAAACCTAAGCTTTTTTCAGAGTCATCTTGTAGCAGCCTAAGCACAGTGACATAAAACTAATAGACACGTAGATCTTCAGCCTCCCACCAAATTATTGGAAATCTTTAACGTTAAAGTTGATGGAAAGCTCTGCTCAGTAATGAATGAAATGTTTAATTTCTGTCCTCTTATTGGCTGTGTTCCCTGACAAAAACAGATGTATTTTCAAAACAAGATAAAACATACAGTCCATCTTTGCAAAGCGTGTAACAAATGGAACTGGACTTGTATCCTGGTAAATAATAGTGATGTCAAAAAAGTGATTAAGGCACTTCCCTGAATTATGCAACTGTTTTACCACTTCAACCACTCTCACTTTCTCATACCTAGTCTCTGGAGGCGACCTCAATCTATTCTGACTGTGAATCAGCCACAGATTGAAATCCTGAGCTGTGATTCATTTGCTTTTATACAATATACTATCCTCTACTCTTACTATGGCAGAAACCTAAGAACGTGCATACTATTGTTTTCTGCCTGCACTTCTGTATACTACGGACTTATCTGTAGGAGTGGATAAAGTTGGTTTTGGCTTTCAAATTATGTGCTAAACAGAATAGTTCTCTAACTGAAAAGAGATAAAACTAAACACAATATACAGATGCAATGAAAAGGGCAGTACACAGACACAAAGAGAAAGAGAGAGAAGGAAAGAAAAGCCCTCATATCACAGAAAGAGCAAAAACTAAAATGGTATGTCATCTGACGTTCTCATACATGCTACACCATTATTTAGTTCCAATACTCTATATAAAGCAGTTCAATGCAATATTTTTATTGCATCTTTAAGATGGAGATAGATAACATCACTTGAATGAAGGCTGGATTTTTATATGTGCAAAAAAGTAGTTCTCAAAAGACTTACTTAAAATAGGTGCTGATTTGCACTGCAACATGGAATACTAATGAATCAGGAAAAGATTTGTGATCCAATCACCGATGCTGACAAAGGCAACAGGTCATACTTTATAAAAGAAACGCTTCGGTTCCACACGGTGAGAGCTAGCAGAGGGGTTCCTACCGTGTGAGCACCTCTTCTCTCGGTGAAACAGTATGATGCCCTCCAGAATGTCAACACAGAAGGATTACAAAACTGATCCTGCCAAAATGGTTGTTCTCATTAATTTAAATAACCTGGCTGTGGATTGACACAGTGACTCTCTTGTAAAGAAGTAGGATCCAAATACAACCACTTTTTCAAATGTCTCAAGCATTTTTAAACAAAGCTGTAAAGTAAGGACTAATACCGCTTTCTTCAGGAGCAATCTGATTGTATAATGCAGATAGTGATGTTAATTAGCTATCAAAGCTCTGAAGTGGGATGCTGAAAGTCCCTGTGGGATGTCAGGTGTGTTCTAGCAGTGATAATAAGTTATTATCAATCCATCTTGCTACATGATTGTGAAAGATATTCATAAACCAGCTGCTGAGTTGTTTGCTGCTCAGAATCCTTAGCACGACCATGTCAACCTGTGCAAATTTCAGAGGCTGCACAGCTCCTCACACGCATGTGCTGCTGATGGAAGAGTGTTCCTGCTGCCACCAAAGAGATGGCACAAGGAGATGAAAATTCAAAAGTGAAATCTTCGTTTCACGTTTTTCTAATGGAAAAAATAATTAGCATTTTTCTTTCCACAAAATAAAGTTACATGCTAACTCATTATGACAAACTGCAACACAAATTGATTTTAATTAGGACATGAATATTTTAAAATTAATTTGCTGGATAGATCAACATTTCAAAGTAAAACCAGAAGTGCTGAACATCTGAGCAAAAAGAAAATAGTTTTCTTAAGAGGATAATTAGTCCTGCTTACGCTTTGAAATCTGACTAACTTTTCACATAAAGTGGACAAATTCACTGAAATATGTCCATTTTAATAAATTAATTGGTATAATGTTTAGTTGACTGTACAGCACAGGAAAAAGAAAAGATGGTTATACCTAATCTATGTTTAATGATTTTGCATAAGTGCTGTCTGCAATTTCTAACTTACTGAAAAGCAGGTAATTAAAAATTGTCAGTTCAATTTTTACAGGGACGGTGACTTCACAAGGGCAGTAGCCATTACGAATAATCTCTTTTAAATCTGTATGTAGAAAACACCCACAGTATTATGCAATAACTGAGACGTTGCAGCATGCTATAAAGATTTTGCAAATGTTTTTAGGATAAAACTGAAAATGAAACCTACGGTTAAAAGTGGAGTGACTTTCAAAGGTACAGAAAGGTGACGGACATCAGGGGGAGTTGAAGCTACTCTTCACCTGTGAAAATTAACTCCCTTTCTCTGCCTCATTGCAAATTTTTCTGTCTCCTGCACTTGTGTTTGGGTGCACATGGTTTTAGCTATTCCCAGCCAGGTCCTAGACAGTGTAAATAAGGCTCCATGCATTAACTGGGTGATTGGGCTCATGTACCTAAGCTGGCCTTTACCGTAACTAGTAGCTACACCTCAAAAAAATGCACGAAGGTGGCATCGACATTTAGGATATGATAGGTTTAGCAGAAAGGAAAATGAAACTAGTGGATGGCTGATATATTTACAGCAGGTGTCTCATTCTGTATTCATTTCAATATAGAGGAGCAGACCTGTTTTATTCATGAAAGTAGGAGCACATCGTATTTACAAAAGGGTGACTAAGTACCTATTTGCATTTTCTCTCTGAAGTAAAGAATTTCTTGTGATCTAAACTGCTGGAACAAGGAAAAAAGGCAGGAACCTTTTGATCAGTCTTGCTGCAAAGTCGCCGACACAGGAACTTAGGAAAGGAGGTGGCATTTGGGGGTCTTGGGCTCAGTACCTTGGTTGCAGAGAGCGCCAAAGAATCCAGGCAAGCAGTCGCAGTGTCCCGACACGTGGTGACAAGGCCCGCTGCTGTGCACACACTGAGGGCATGGCTGGCTGCAGTGGTGGCCATAAAAGCCAGGAGGGCAAACTGGAGACAAAACAGAGTAAGCTGCCACAGGTTTTCAGAAGATTTCTCGCTGCTGAGAGCTTGAGAATTCTCTCTCTGTCTTCACCCCAAACCAATATTTCTTAATTTATAAACCCACAACTTTGTGAACATCTGCAGTTATGAAGCCTGTTGGATTATTCCATGTCTAATAAAGTGCAAGCTCTGACTAAAGCTGCTCCCGTGGTTCAAACATTCACACCATCCAAAGCTCTGACTAAAGCTGCTCCCATGGTTCAAACATTCACACCATCCTACCTCATGTAGTCCTTGGGTATTTAATAACACAGTGGAGCTCTCTCAGCAGCCTCTCTCTCTCTCTCTCTCTCTCCCCCCCCACTAATTTGAGTGTCTCTAGCCTGCTCCAGCTAAACTCTTTTACAAAACACAGGAGTTGAAGATGTTCAAGACCTCATAGCCCACTGGCAGATGTGGTTAATAACACATATTCCAAAGCTTTCAAGATAGGTAGGAAAACAAACACTCACACACATGGACAGATAACAAAAACTCAGAATGGCATTTCCTGCAGAAATTAAGCTAAGAAATCAGAGAAGGTGTATTAGGAAAACTCTCAATATTTTATGTCTAAACAACTATGACAAAAGTTGATTTCTAAACATATTAGGTGCAATACCTGTGTTCAATTGGGACAGTCAGTTTATACATGCCATTGCAGGAGCAGCATCCATCAATGATGAACTGAATCTAAAAATAGTAATTACGGTAACAGCATACAAAATCACCTAATCTGCATCAGTAATCACACTGGATAGCTGAGTAAATTTGTCATGAACTGTGTGCTTAATTTGCTTAAAACCTGGACTGAAATTATTATAGAATTTGTACATAAGGTATAGTGCCAAGATTATGGCTCAGTATCTCTTATAAATGCATATTGTTGCTTCAAAGCACATGTGGAATGAAAAACCATCCACTGTCCAAACATTCACTGCACATATATAAGCACAAAGAAATGTTAAATTGCAGTAAGTGGCTGTAAAAATGACTTTATATGTTTTTTATTTTTACTCCTGTGATGCTCTGTTATATAGTTCTGGTTCAGTGGTTACTATATCATGTCCATTCTATTTTTTCACTGGATAAGAATTTTTCTCTTGGTCCTTATGTTCACAGAGGGTGTCAGGTTCTTATACCACTGCAGATTTCCAGCTGGAGCTTAGCTGACAGGTTTGTTGATGATGCACTAGTTGCGAAACAACATGGATCATTCCTGGAGACATTTCTGCAGGCCTAAGAGCAGTAAACTATCCCAGTGCCTCATGTAATCCTGATTATACAGACAGAACAAGCTGGCTGAGTATCATCTTCAGTACTGCCCTTTACAGGCTGAATTCTGTTTCTAAATTAATTTCCCACAGAAAAATGGGAATGATTCTGAAAACAAACTTAGCAAGCTAAAGCCACCTTCACCTACAGAGGTGTCCTGGTGACACCTCCTACAGAGGTGTCAAGGTAGTCTTGAGCCTGGATGCTGCAGAAGAGGTGGAAGCGAGCTGAATTCCCAGGCCGTATATTCACAGAGAGGTATTTCAGCAACAGGAGGCAACAGCAGAAGCATACACAGGACCCCTCTGCTGTCACCTCAGTGGGGAGGAAAACTTCTCCCCATTAGATCCTTAGCAAATGTCCTCAGGGAGCAACCTGATTACTGGAGTTGAAAACTGGGGACATCGTTTGCCTCTTGTAGTCTACATGCCATCAGCTGATAAAACTAAGCTGGTTTTTTTTTTTTTTCATCTCAGAAAGGTCAGAAACTATTAACTTCTGGAAGTTTTGCACTCTTAGGGTTTCAAATTTTTAAAACAATTTCTTCCTCAATTCCCTGAAGCTCTGAGGACCACATTTTAGCCTTGGAGAGAGGTTTTACAGCTATACAGATATGCTGAAGCACCTGGAAATTGGGGTTTATAATGGAAATGCTTATAGGCCATTAACTACAGCAGTGCTAGAGGTCATAGTTATAATGGCTTTAAATAAAAACTGTCAGCTACAAATTATTTTTAGAGATGAGTGTGTTCTAGTGTCAAGTGTAACTGGTGAAATCAAAGGGGATATATGAACTGGGCATGCAGAATGTCTTACAGGAAGAACAAGAACTGCTGCAGAAAAGAAAGGCAAATCCATTTTGTGTTTACACGGGAAGATGGTTGTGTGTAGTTTGGGATCAGTGAATAAAGGTCCCTAAGGGGCAAATGCAGCTTCCCAGATAAAGCAAATGAGAGGATTTTTATCTCCTCGGCACATTTTAATATGTAGCAGCAGAGCATCAGACAGGAACTATTTCAGGCTGCTGTGGTTCTTTTTCTGGCACATAAGAAAACATTGTCTTGTTATTTTGATAGCGAACGCTCATCCACTTGTCATTATGTGATGGGTCATAGCTGACTCGGTTTAACAGGTATCCTATAGTTCACCATGACTTGACTGTAAACCTGTTTTTGCCCAAATCCTGCCAAGTTTGTATGTAAAGGTGTTGCTCCTTCTTTCAGGTCATTTTGTGACCTCCAGGTGCTGTGGAAGGCCAGAAGAAGAAACACAAAGCATGACTTGATACAGTAGAATCTTGACTTCTTGATCAAGAAGGATTTTTTAGGCTAGCTTTTGCCCTTAGGAAGCCATGAGCTAAAGTAGCTCAGAAACCTGTGCCTCTGTCTGTCTGGTGTCGTAAATGAGCATTTCTGCCTGCTTCGCGTCTGCCACCACATCTATGGAAAATCTTACTTCTCTGGCACAAGGGTCCTCTGTATCCTGGTGCACAGTCACAGGTGCCATCCTCTGGGGAGCAGGATCCCCCGTTCTCACAGTTGCAGGAGATGGAGCAGTTTGGTCCCCAGCGGCCCTGGGTACATATACTGTCGCAGTGGATGCCTAAAGACGTAAAGGCACACGTTAGGTTTCACACAGCTTACTCTGCTCATCGATCAAAGAAATGTTTGTCTGGACTGATACCTCACAGTACATCACAGAGCAAACAAGGGAGCCTGGAAAGGAAATAGCAATGCTTTTATCTGGTTAATAAAGTGAAAATTAAGAAAATGTCAAAGAGGTGAATTCTGTAGGTGTTAGTGGGCTCCTGTTCAGTCCTTAGCACCATTAAAGAAACTCTGCATGTCATCTGAGAGATGAAGGTCAGGAATTGCTTTAAAGTCACGAAATACCTCAAATGACTGGTCTGGAAATATGCAGTTGATTGAAGCCTGATTACTTAACTGTTGTGAATTGGAAGACCAAAAAAGAAAAATCAGGCTTCTGGAAGAACATGTCCAGTATTTGGATTCTTGAACGTATGTAAATTCAGTTGCTTGCTGTGTATTGTTCCCTTCCTGCCTTAAAGCACTGTGCTCTGGGTTATTAGGCACATACCCCACATCCACCCAGAGCTCGCCGACTTCTGTGTTAATGAAGCGAGTTCTGATCTAGCAAGTGGTCAGATGTGGGCACAGGCCCGTCATTTGCATGTGAAATGGAGACTGGGACCTGCTGGTCCAGCTCCCAGTGATTCCCAGGGTGGTTGTTTAATATTTATTGTTATCAAAAGCAAAGCTTGGAAACACTGAAAGAAGCACACAGCCAGAAAGCTTAACATGAGGCTTCTGGCATTGTTTCAACTGTTTTTTTTTTAACCAGTGACTTTCAAAAACAACCTTGTGCTGAAGCTTGTCACATCTAAATGTAACCTAAGGATTTGATCCTGCACACCATTACTGGTGTGAGAGGCTCTTACTCCACTGGGATAAGACAGTACCAACACCTACAATTAGCAGAGCTATTTGCATGATCAAGGGTTCCTTGGATTGAAAAAGGTTTGCAGGATCATGAACTAAGAGAGACACGAAGCACCGCCAGCTCCAGGCAGCGGCATCAGCAGTAGCACGCTGTAGCTACTGATAACAACAGAAAAAAAAGAATCACAGACTGGCTTGAAAATTTTCCTAACAACATTAGCACACCAGGTACCTTACAAGTGCACCACCAAGATTTGATGGTATACACATGCCCTAGTTAGACTTTCAACATGAAGATGTTCTTTATCATCCATGCACATGTCCCCACTGCATAATGGGATAAATGCAGACAAGGGCTCCGAGAGCCCCAGCCTCAGCCAGAGGTTGGATTAGTGCATCGCAAAGGAGAAATACAATCCCAAGTAATTGCCTCCACCTCTGATAACTTCATCTGGATGCTACAGGTAATGGACTCTATTCGTGAAGCTGGGATCTGTACAGTCACCAAACTTTGAGGATTATTAAATCAGCTAAAAGTCATTATAAAGACACTTACAGTGCAGTTTCAAGTTGGTTTTATAAATCTCGGAAGTTAATACAGTAAGAAATACTGCAGAGCCAAAACTCCCCTTTTCTGAAGATTAATCACACAATTATAATGTCCCTTCCTAGAAAATCTTAACCAAGTCTGGCAAAAGTACAGTTTGAAATGAGATTTCTAGTAATACATGATCATAGCTTTATTTATAAAGGGGCATGGTCCATGCTGTAGAGCTTATTAAAAAACACATTAAAATACAGTAAAAACATAATACAAGCTCAATCCCTTAATATCTAAGTAAATAAATCTGAAAAAAAAATGCAAAAAAGAGGCAAGGAATATTTGTATTAGTAAAATCAGGAAAAACAATTATTTTAATACAGTCTTCACTGCTGCCTTTGAAATCAAATAAATCCTTGGATTACTTGAACAGTAAATGCTTTGTGTGTGCATTTATGTAATACATCTACAGTACTCTGTCATTAAAATGGCATACAATAAATAGTAAATAAATAAGTGCATTTCATGTTTATACATATATGTGATCATTTATAGTTTTGAGAGTCTCAACGCAAGCTCCCAGAAATGAAATTCAGACAGAAATGTAGAAAAATGTGTCTCTTCCTCCTGATTGCAGCATTAAAAATACAATTCTCTCGTTGCGAATGGGCTATTTATAAATGGAGACAATTAAACAGCATTATTTCTTTTCTCTTTTGGCAAAGTTTGGGGAAGAATGACATTGACTCCTTTCTCTTGAAAGGTAGCTGAATTAGAATGCCATGGCTGTTCTCTGCAGCAGCAAAGTCCTTCCTTTAGTAATGAATGATGAAGGATGTCTTCCCGCTCCTAACGAAGGCAATGAGTCATTGTGAAGCCGATTGTTGTAACAAAATGTAAAGGGGGAAAAGGAAACCTTCTAGAAGACACTGATACCCATTACAGCAGTTATTTATTTATAAATTTTCAGAAGACAACCGAGAAGGTGCTGCAATCAATTTTTATTACGTTCTATTACTCTAAGTTAATTCTCATGGAAGACTTCATTTTTGGAGGCTCCTACACACATTGAATTGCAAATGTAAATGAGAAGTGAAAATTGCATCTGGACATGCATGTCTTATGGAATTGTGCTAAGAAAAGCACCTTAATTTTACAATTCCCTAGCCTGACAGCATATGAAGGAGGAGTCCATCCCTCCCAGCTACTTTACAATCAGAGTCGGTGAAGCAGCAAGCTTCTTTAACGTAAAACTTTAATATTTACTTAGGAACTTGCTGATGAACATTTCTGATAAGCAATTAGTTTTCAATTTCCAGAAATATAAAAAATGCTGAAGTTGACAGATCTCTGTATTATCTCATGTTACAACCATAGATTCCTAATTTATGAATAAATTCCTTGTTTCACAGGCACGATGTAGGAATTAGAAAGACAACTATCAGAAGAAGAAGTCCTTGAAGCTGCAGGAAGCAGTTCTATACATAAACTCTATTGCCTAGATACCGGGAAATTATCTTACTGCCTGAGGCTGTGGTTCACAATTGCAGATACTAGTATGAAATTACACTTCCAAGACCTTCTTAAACAATGTTCCAGGGGTGAATTGTAAATGAAATCCACATACTTACATAAAATTATAGTTATCCACTATACGTGAGCAAAGGACATCTGTACTCTCATGCAGTAAGCCAGAGCCGAGGTAAGAGCAGAGTTCGCAGTGGCTGTGAAACAGCAGCCACAAAACCTCCATGTCCCGGTGTGGGTTCAGGGTACTGGCTTTCTGCAAACATTGTCTGCTCTCCAGTAGGATTTCCACTGCTGTCCTTTGCACTGCTCTGTAGTGGCTAGAGAAGTGTGTGTCTGGTGACTCGGTGTGATACAAGCTTGTGCTGGGTTTACGTGGAGCAGCGTAAATTTTTACCAGATTAAGTCGGTTCTTTGTACTAAAATTTACAAATCAAGCTGTGACAGATTCAGCTAACATCCACACAAACATCACGAAAGGGAGCAAGAAAAAGAAAAAGAAAAAAACCCAAAAAAACCCCAAGCCATACAACTGGGATGTCCCAAAAAACCCCAAGCCATACAACTGGGATGTAAGGCATCTATTGAACAGTTACTTCATATACTGCTTCTATTAATAATCTTCAATGGCTTCAATGAGAGTTTGTCAAAGTAATGCAGATTTAGTACTGCCTGTAACTCCATCACACTGAAGAACTTCAGAGGCGAAATTCCTGAAAGCCAGACGTAAGTAGAATTCCCTTTTTCCCCTCTCCAGCTTACTTGTGCAATTGCACTCGTGCTTGGGGATTACGTCTCTAGCTCTTAATAAAGCCTGCCATTGTTTTTCTGCCTTGTCTCTAGGTAGTTGGAAACTAATACTCCAAACACAATAGAAGAGCAAAAAATGGATGGAATAAATGAGAACCAGTGGCCTATTTTTGACCACTGCTATCCCCTTGACAGTAGCCTCTGCAGCAGGGCCTGCATGTTGCCCAGCATCTAATTATTTTTCAGGGAGGTAGGAATTTGATAAATTATAGGATGTAGCTCCCTTCCCCCCATGTACTTTAATTTTATATCTACCAGCGTACAACTGTAATTATTTCTCTGAATAAGATCTTCAGCCTTTTTTTTTTTTTTCCCAATAGTCACAATCTAATGACAGATGCAACATCAATTAGCAATGACAGGAATGATTTCAGCAGACATTTGAATCCAACACAAACATTGTGCTCTCCTCCACCTGTCTTTCAACATGACATGAAGTCATAATAATCTCTTATTTCTGGCATTTGAATAGCTTTGGAAAGAACTGCTTTTTATGCATAAATAGGCATTGGATTTATGCAGGCAATACAGCGGAGGCCTGAAGTTTGGTGAGTCACGCTTGGGTTTCATCTGGAATGCCTGGTAGCTTTTGTCTCTGGCATTACTAATGGTGGTTTGTCTACCTGTTGACACAGTACGTAGTGGCAAAACCACAACAGTAGCAATACTGCTTCAATAGCAGAAAATAGCCTAATGATTATAGCTGCGAGGTTGTTTTAGATAAGTAATTGTAGCAAGTGGGCCAGCAAGCACTTGATCGTACTGAAAGGAGGTATGGGAACGTATCACTGAATGTGAATGTGATCTCTGGAATGGACTGCTCCTTCATGTGATACCATCGCTTCGGTCTCCGTCACGCAGGACCATCCCGCCTGCAGCCATCCCTTTGGCAGCCGTAGCACACCTCCCACCCAGCCGTCGGCCCTGGAGCGGTTCCTAGGCCTGTGGCATGTCAGAGCCAGGGGCCACAGAGGTCACCTGGAACTCCTGCCTTGGCCTCCTACTTCGTACATTTATTTCTGATAAAGATTTCTATAATCATACGTTCATGTTTTCTTCAACCTTATTCTCTTCTCTTTCCTCAGTACTCTTATTGCTGTTACACTTCTGTTTTCCCTATAAATTCTATTTAAATCAGCTTTGTGTCTGAGATTAGATCAGCGTGCTTTCCTAGGTAGTGAATAGTTTGCTGCTTCAGTCTATAAAAGGTAAAAGAAAATTCAATAAGCACATGAGACACCACTGTCCGATTAGCTCTGGATCAG